GCAGCAACATGCACACGTCAACAACATGCGGCGACAACGACAACAACGACAGCTTCAACAGCAGCAGCAGCACGCCTCATGTAGTCAATTGTACAATTCTCAGGCAACACACACACACGCACACCCACAAAACACACACACACACGAAAAGTTTTTTAATAAAATTAAATTTAATGCTGGCAAATGCTGAACGCTTCGGTTTGTTCGGTTTCATTTTGCAGCAAATTGCATTACAGGCAAGAGCAGCAGCAGCAACAAAAACAAAGTGCAACAACAGCAACAACAACAGCGTGCAACAACCACAATAAAGAGCAATGCAAATGAGCTACAAACGCAATGCATGCATAAAAAATGAAAAACGCTTAAATTGCAGAGTCAGTCGATGCCACACATGCCACATGCCGCAACCTGCAAGACTGCCAGGCAGCCAGGCAGCAACCAGCCAAGGCATCCAAGTATCTGCTCCGTCGTGCAACACGATTAAATATTGTAAATGCCAAAGTTATGAGCAGGAGGCGCCTGAAAACTAGAAGTGAACCAACCCAAGCTCCACTTGGCCAACAAATGCAAAATTCGCCCACAACAATAACCAAAAGCAGTTGCCACACCTTGAAAGCCTTTTATCCCAACTGCAACAACAGGTTAGCAGGTTAGTTCACAACCACTGGCACAAACCACAAACAGACCACAGACATTCCACCAGTAGCTACAAAGTACCCTTTTTGGCCCAGCACAATTATGGCCAAAATTAAATAAATTCTATTTGTTAGATCAGCTGTTTATCGCTGCAGCAAAAACGTATTTCAATTTTAATTGCCAGCAACACCTTGAAAATATAAAACCAAACTGGTAGCATATTTTAATTATAACAAGTTTCATTATGCAGCCAGACGGACCAACAAACAACCAGACCAAAATGTCGCAGCAACAGCAACAACCACAACAACTATAAACCCAATGAGAGACCACTAAAAAGTAATTGTAGTTAAATGTCAAAGCGACAATTGTTGCTAGTGTTGTTGGCTGGCGTTGCCAACTGAAATGTTCATAAAGTGAATGGCAACAAACAACAGAAACAACCACAAGGGGAAGGTGGGCGGCTGTTTGCTGCTTTTGGCCAAGAGTAATAGAGTGCTGCAACTAAATGAGGCTTAACTCGCATTGACCACAACGGCCAAAGACGCCGAGAACTGAGAGAATTTTTAGTATCTGCTTTGGCTTCAAATTGTGTGACAAATCGACAAATTGCAGGCACTCTCAAATGAGGCGGGCAAACAAGCTACACGGCAAAAAACTGAGAACTAAATTAAAATGGGTAAAAGCGTTGAACAAGTAACCCCATCTCAGAGTCTAAAGAGCTAGGCCATCAGATTCTGAATATTAGTGCTCGTTTACCACAAGATCATTATAATTTTATATATATATTTCTATATATATATCTTCACATCAAATAGTTCAGGGTAACTCCTTGTCAAACTCTCTCGACTGACGCAAGCCTCTTTCAAAAGTCAAATTAAATGGATGCCAAAGCTGCAATTAAAAAACTCATTAAGTGAAAACCAAACACATTTTTTGATGTCGTATAAAAAATATACTTTCTTCAACGACTTAATTATAGGTTAGAGTTGTAGACGAACAGAATTGGTATTTGAAGAATTATTTCCTCATTTGCTGTTTCTGAGTTAATTGAAAATAATAATAAAAAAAAACATACAAAATAAAATACTCTTTTCCGACCACACACAGTCACATCAAACAACACACACTAAGAAACGTGGTAAATAAAATATTTAATATTTAATTTTAAACACGTAAACAAACAATTTAAATTTTGTAAATTTGTAAGCAAAGCAAACACAGCTTTAGCAGCTTGTGCTCTCATGTAAAGTTCAAAATTGGTGAAAGTCAGACAAAATAATTTGGCATAAAGTGTTCATTTCAAAATATTAAAGAAATATTGAAAAATTAACTTGCCAGTTGGAGTTAAATGTTATAATAGTGTTGCTGGACGTGTCAAAAGCGTACACAAATTTAAGATGCTAATAATGAAAGGTTTGGGGAACTTTCTGAAGGTCCTGCAAAGGACCTGGACTAAATCGGAAAGCTAACTTATAGCATACAATTGGAGACTTTAAGTTAGTTTTTAGCGTAACTTAAAGCTAAATGTTTTAGTCTATAATCCAGTTTTATTTAAAATAAAAGTAAAACTTAATAAATAATACCCAGTTAAGCTTGTCATAATAGAATTTTATTAAAATAAAACAGGAAATTCAATTGCAACACACAATTTCTTACAGTGTGCGTTTAAATGAGTGGGGTTTTGTTGGTGGCAGACCCCTGCAACAGCTTCGAGGCAGGCGCAATCTTAGCGCAAGACTAAATATGCTAATTATGCGTTAATAAGCAGACTGCCGCCTGAGAGGAGAAGGAGCGGGCAGCTCGGGACTCGGGCAGTTTGAGTTGTCGCCAGTTGTCTATGTAAATGCTGCTGACGGAATATATATATATGTATGCATATTTATATATATCTATGTACTGTTACTGCTGTGAGAGGCAATTTGATGGTCGGTTAACGCTTTGAATTTTGCCATTTGCCATTTGCCGCGACGGCTTCAACAACGACTTCAACGACAGCGAACAGAATCATTGCGAAAATTTTGTTGGCTCGAGGCATTTTAGCTTTAATTATGAACAATCAAAGTTGTTGTTGTGGTTGTTGTTGTTCTTGCTATCAAAGTTGGTGCTGCCGCTGTTGCTGTTCTTTTTGTACTTTTTGCTGCATGTCAATCAAAGGCGCTCAAGTCGTGATTTGATGATTTTGTTACGCGATTTTCTTGTTGTTTTTTGTTTTTATATCGGTTCTATTTCTGTTTCGGTTTCTTTTTCTGTCTCTGGCCAAGCCACACAAAATGGCCAAAGCGATTTGTCAAGCGAGAACCCCAGCATTGAATGCGGCTCTAAGCTGACCTGTCCTTCAATATTGGGGAGGGGAGGTTGCGACTTGTATAATGCCACGAAATGAAAACAAAGCATTTAATGATATATAAATACGCGGATTATGGTCTTATGGATTTAGGCCCACAGACAACACAGACAGAGACAGAGAGAACAGTTCAATTTCCGAATCAATCAAAAGCTTTTTGAATTCCAACTGAATGGATAAGTCCATCAAGATTAATTAAAGCCAAAAAGTTTATTATTTACTTTGGCGTTAGATCAATAAGTTAAGTTTGTGTTCAGTTATGTGCATATATATAATTAAGTCAATTATCGAATCGAGAATGATATTTGCAATTATTTACCAAGCACAGGCGCCAAACTCAAACATATCTATAGACTTGACTTGAAGTTGTATTTTATTACAACATTTCGGGCACATAAATTTAACAATGTCACTTTATAAATTTTGCAGCTCCAAAAAAAGCAGTTTGCTGTTAACGTTGACTGCTCTTTATTTATATCGTGACTTTGTTGTTAGTTGTTGCTAAACTCTGCGCATACTCTGCCCCAGCAAAGCGTGCCAGCTTTGTTATGGACAATTTATAGTCTTTTATAACTGACATTTACTTAGAGTAAGAACTAAGAGCTGAGACCTGAACATAAATCTTTACCTATCAGGTGTTATTATAGGCAATTTCCGTATATCTGAAACGATCTTGAAGGCATTGATAAAGAGATGATCAGTTCCTTTTGAAAGACGTATTTAGTATAACAAGTAGAAGTGGTCGAGAGATTAATAATATATTAGTAATATAAAATTTGTTCTTAATGATGTTCAATGCGTTTTAAAATAATCAATAATGTGATCTGGTATATGCATATCCGTTATACGTTGAAGAATTTATAATTATTGATCACAACAAGCTTCTCAACTGCCAGTCTCAATTTCATCTTAGCTCTCAGTTTAATGGCAAATTTTATTGTTATAAGTTCATTCTTTTAAACAAGTTTAAACTTACTCCAAAAGTGCATAAAATCTTCGACTAGTATTTGGCCAACTCTTGTTTTGCAGCAATATAGTTGGCTTAAATCAACTCTGATCTTTGCGCTCTTCTCAGTTGCTGTTGTTGCTTCAATTTTGTACGCTTTGGCTTTGGCTAATTTATGCAGCGAACTTGTTTCGATTTCTCATGGCGCCACAAAACGGCTACACAAAATCCACAAATATATATACATTTATATAGAATATATACCTATATATTCCGTAAATATTGTATATTATATATATTTGATTAAACACATTTTGTGCGCTGCGTTCTTAATTGCATTTACCATTTCTAATTAAGTTGTTGGTCAGAAAAATAAATCTCAAAAAAATCACAAAATATATTTGCAGACGAATAGCGAGCTGTATGGGGGGAAGGGTGGGGGTGGTTTAGCAGATGTAGCTTCAGCTTTTGTTGGCTTTGTGTCTCTTTCTGTCTTTTGGCTTTGACTTTGTCGTTAACATGAAATTCATTTTGCTCAGCTTTTTAGCCATTTACTTTTGTTCAATGCAAACGACTTTTTTCCGACCATTTTTTATTTTCATTCGTATTCCGTTTTGGAGTCTCAGTCGGGGAAGTTTACATTTTGTCTTTGTTTGCTGCTGATTCAGCTACCAGTTTTTTTCTTTCTCTTTGTGTTGTTGTTGTGGCTTGAAGCTATTCTCGTCTTTATACCATAATATTAACAAGTTTTACGAAATAACAGAAATGCAGACCACAAGAAAACAGAGTGCAGAAATTCTTATCAAAAGTATTTATTTACAAATGGAAGATAAAAACGTTTATTTACAATTGTTTGTCTTCTCTCTCGGTTTGCTCTTCTCTCTTCAGACTTTGTCTGTGCTGTGCTTCTCTTTCCTCGTCTTGGACTGCTTTAATTTTCCTTACTTAGTATTGTTTGTCTCTCTCTCACTTGCTGTGCGTCTTTCTAGGACTGCTTTGGCTTGCTTTCTCATCTGTGCATCTCGCTCCTGCTACGATTCTCTCCTCCATTGCGTCTCTGTCTCTTCGCGTCTAGGACTTCATTAATTTAGCTTGTTTTCGCAGCTTGGACACGCTATGTCGCAGCTTGCGCTTAAAGAGCAGCTCACGATTCACAGCCTTTAGATCATCCATGCTGCAAGTCTTGATGTTCTTCACCGTTCTCGAGATCAGCTCATCCGTAATCTCAATCTTGGTTCTGGAGAGTCGCAATTGGCGAGATTGGCGACGCGCCAACTCCACACGATAGAGAAACAAGTGATAAGAGACTGTTGGCTTGATAAGCTTGTCGTGATCCATTTTGGCTATTAACAACGTTTCAACTCTCTGACTGCTCTTGGTCAAGTGATCAAAGTTGCAGCAAGGTGCCACTCTTATATGCAAAGAAAGGTGAGAAAAACTGACGCTACCTGTTCCTTAACCTTTACCTGTACAGGTACACACGAACAGACAGCCAGGCAGACAGAGAACTGTAAATATTTGTGCCAAAATATTTCGTGGCTTAATCCGGCCTAATCCGTTTTTGGCTGGCAACCGTTTTGGTTTGGTTTACCACTCATAATATGTGCGCATCCATATGATCTGTATATATAAACACAAGTAAGCGCAATGAGGATGATGACCAGCAAAAGCTGCAAAATGCAAAAACGCTAATTTCAACCAGCTGCGAATGCAGCCTTGCATGAACGAACTTGTTGAGAGAGATACAGAGACAGATAGAGAGAGAGATAGGGAGCTGAAGAGGGTCGAAACGGGTCACTAACCCAGTTAAAATGTCAGCTAAACAAAAGAACTTGGCAGCACTCAGGCGTACTACATTTTGGTAATAAATACAGAAACTACTACAAACATTATGCAGAAATTAAAATAGATTGGATGCAAATGTAAAACTACATTTTTCTCAGCATCATTAAACAAAATAAATAAACTCAGCCGATTGTCTTTCGTATTATTATTTAGACTTCGGTAAGTTTATCAATATTTATATTAAAAACCAGATATAATTCAGAAATTAAAATATATTTTTGAAATCACTCTTGAAATAAAATATGTTCAAATTATTTACTTGTCAGCAATACAACAAAAAAGACACAATTGAAAATAGTTTCTATGTCAAATTAATATGTTAGAAAAGTTAGTTTTCTGAATATTTATCAATTTTTATACGTTATATAAAAACGCTATACAAAATATCAATTCAACAGGGAAACAATTAATACAATAAATACTATACAAAAAATCAAAAAATCACAAATACTCAAGGAAATCAAATAATGAAACTAATCAACGAGCAATGCCAAATTGCTTAAATGAATAAATCTTAAATTGGGACCTTCAATCAAAATCATATATTTTAATAAATACCTATCTAATGTCTACTAATATCAGTCAATAAATAAAGAAATTAACTTTAAAAAAATAAATAACTATTTAAATAAATAAATAGAAATAAAATATCATATTCATTTGAACATTTAAGAACTCTTTTAGTTAAAAATATAATAAACAAATTAGAAAACTGTATTAGGAATCGTTTCACTCAACGATTGACTACTGTACTTGCACAAATATTTGTTTAGACCTTCTGTTAAATGCTGTGTTCCTCTCTCAGACGCTATACATATTTCTTGAAAACTGTTTATTTAGGTTCATCTGCTCCGTTGGCTGTTTTTACTCATTTCCATGTTTGCCATGTGTGTCATGTGTCGCAGTGTAGCTTGTTAGCTCATTAGCGTACACACAGACACACACTCGCTCACTAGACGTTGTGAGAGTCAGAGAAACATTTTTGTAGAACTTGCTTCTGGGACATTGAGAAAACTTTCCGATTGCTGGCCCTTCATATTTTTCCACCTAACAACTTCCAGGTAATTCATTAAAATTGCTCATAATGAAAAATGCAAGTGGCAGCATGGTGGGAAAAGGGACAGCGGCGACAGAGTCCGCTTTTCGGACAGTCAGGTCAGAAAATGGCATAATCCTTTTATAATTGCATCGAGTAGCGGGAAATACGGGTGAGTGGAAAACAAAAGGTTTCCGCAGACGGATTAACAACTTTGGGAAAGACCACGCGCCGGATTAAGCATAAGCAAATGCGAGATATGCATCAGTGTTTTATGACCGCTTGCCTCCGCTGAACCGCCCCTACCCTGCCAGGCCGCTTGGCCCAGGGGCAGGTAGGTAGCCAGAGAGAGAGATAGCCAAAGGTCAAAGACGGCCAGAAACCGGGGCAAGCGGGGCACGTAGATTGTTGTTATTGACAGTTCTGCAGACAGCTTCCAATTCAACGCGCTCTCCTCAAAACTCAATGAGCATCTCAAGACCTGGCACCGGGTATAGTTGGGGGGAGGGGGGCGTGGCAGTTACTGGGGAATTGTGCGTGTTCAGACAAGCTACACAAATTTATCGGCCAACTGTTAATGTTGCTGCTGCTTTACTGCTGCTGATTCGACAATCATCATAATCAAGTCAACAAAACGATTGTTGTATCATCGAGAGCGATGGATGAGCCAACAATATCTTTTTCGTATACACTGCATTTTTAGTGGGCCGCAAGGGTATGATGAACTTGTGCAGATACATGTCACAGGCAGCATAAAGCATGTAAATAGTATAATAATAAAAATATGATAATAATAATATAGCATAACAATCTCTTTAGTCATGTCACACAGACTATGGGAGCGACACACTTTATATTTAGAAAATAAATGGTCGTACTCGTAATCAACTCGATTTTCGTTAGTAATGAGAGACATCATTTTACAGATCTTGTTTTCAAATTGATAAATTATACCCTGTTATATTATTGATCAGTTGTAAACATTTTATTTAGATTTATTCATATCGCCTAGATGAGGTCAGTGAATCTCAAATCTCAAAATTTCTAATTAAGCTGTTTCCCTTTTTAATATTCAAAACATTACTCCAGTCTATTCTAGGGTATTTACCCTTCGTCTTACTTTAGTTAGCTTTTCTGTTGTTTTTTTTTTCTATCTGATTTTCTTTACATTTTTCATATTTTCAGATTTTGTTTGTCTGATTTTATGGGTCGTTCATCGTCATTGTTTGCTTGCCTCGAGGGGAAGAGCCCGCTGCATTTTAACAGTGTATTTAAATATGGGCATGCACAGACAGACAGATAGACAGACAAATAGACGCTCAAAAGCGAGGCTTTAACATTTAATACGTACAAAATTAACTAAGAGCATAGAAATATGTATATAGATATTGTATCTGCAGCTGCAGGGTTAAAATTATGCCTAAGCATCAACTTTCACTCCGCTTATGCATTTGTTATAATTCTTATTGTTTTGTTGTTACTGTTGCAGTTGCAGTTGCAGTTGTTGCAGTTGTTGCAGTCTGTAAAGAATTTGGACAAGTCGCCAAGCGCTTTATTGTTGAGTGAAAGAAATACAAAGGCCAAATACGAATTTTCACTTTTCTTTCTCATATTTTTTTTGGCGCACACATTTTAACATAATTAAGCTGACGACGTTTAGTTGAAAAGCGCATTTGGAGCCCTCATCTCAATTAAATTAAATGAAAATAATAATTATGCGTCAGCCCATTTTTAAATAAAATAAACCCTAACCGTCTCCTCCCCCTCCTTGACTGTCCTTCAGCTTGAAGGGGCAGCATTTGGGTCGTGTGCCATTAATTCCCTTACAAATAAATATTTAATAAGCACTTCTGAGACGAGGGTCAGCAAATTATATTCCTGTGAAAATGTTGGTATATTTATTAGCGCTTCAACTTGCACTCTGCTAACTTAAAGCAATTTAGACAATTTTCCACTAAACGACGGCTCGTATAAATTTAAACGTTTCCAGTTTTAAGCTATAAATTGCAAATTGCGCCTATGTTTTGACTCTGGGGTCATCTATTTTAATAAATATAAGACAAGTAAGGGTGATCGACTAAGAGATACGCTGAATCCAAACAAAATACGGCGAAACTGCTATCTAAAGTTTTCTATCAATTTAAATGGAAACTTAATGATTTCGTAGTGCAATGTGGATGAGCTAGGAGAAGTAATTTCTCGATTGTTCTCGACTGTTAATAATAAATAAATAAATATGAAGGATTTGTAGATACTTTCAAAAATAAAGCTGCATCTTATTTAAGATTTTGTTACAGAGTATTTTGCTATCGTTCTAAGCTCCGGTATTTTCTCAGGTATCCTTTTATGCATATTTATACAAAGGTCAAATCATAAATTGCAGTTGCCGTCTTAAGCTAAGCGCACAACAAACACACACACATATCAGGCACCCACACTCCCATGTATACCTGCAGAGACGCTCGCACAACAACCTTTGTGAGGCTCGTCAAAGATAGAGATATAACGAATAATAAGTTTACAATGCCAGATCGAGAAAACTGAGGGTTTTATCCATGCACGCACTTTTGACGCCAGGTAATTAAGCAGGTCAAATTCGCAGGTTGTCGCAGGGTCAACAGGTAGTTGCAACACGTTGCAAGTGTGGCACAGACGCTGAGCTAAGCCATGCGCCTAGCCCCGATATAAATAATCCTGGTAGAATTCAACAGGACATCATTCACAGCTCATCCTGCCAAGCAGTCACAGCTCTGAGTATAATTGTGCCAAGCAAGTTTTGCAATTATGGAAAATCAACGCTGCAACAATAATCAGAATCATCGTCGTGGTGTTCGTCCCAGTGTGGGTTATCTCCTCTTTCAATATCAGAGCGAACTGACTCGTCGCCATGCGGAACCAAGTCGTCTATCCCGCACCAAAATCCACATCATTGATAATCTCGTCTCGAGAACAATCCGCCAGCTGAAACATTGCAGCGTTGAGGAACTGCAGGCCTGCAAGCGGGAACTCGTCTACAAGGAACAGTTGCGTGATGAACTGCGCACCTTGCGGCGACGCAAGTGCAACACTGCTTCCAGTTCCAGTGCCACATCCAGCTGCAGTTCCAGTTCCCCCTCGCCGGCGCCAGTTCAACCAGCTCCTCGCACGCCGCCCAAGCCAAGAGCGTTGATTGAGTCAAAGGTGTCCATCTTTGGACCCGAAATATTTGTCTAGCAGAATATGGGATATATCTATAAATCCATTTAACATATACATATATATAATATTATAAATATTGTAGTTTAATGTCTAGTTTGTAGTTCTGTTTATTTGTCTTAATTGTTGACGATTAAAAATCAAAGAATTTTAAGTTAATACACAATTTTTGTAAATTACTCAAAAATGTCAATTACAGCGAACATTACACTGCGAAAAAAGGCGCATAAGAAGAAAATCAATCAATGGGGGTAGGCTAAATGTGGAAACGAATATGGGAAAGGGGAAAATTGTGAGAATTGTGGAAATAGTATTTCTCAATCTGTTCACTGAATATTTATGAAAAACGATTAAGCTCTCAAACAGCGAGTAGAAAGAATGATGCTGATCAGGGATATATATACTCGTATGTATATATACAATAGTGTGACATAGCACTAAGATTGTAATAACATATCGAGCACAACATGCAACTCTGTAGACGATAACATACGATATCAATATTGATAATATAACATTGGTGTGAACACCAGCTAGAAAGAGGTGAGTGGATGAATAAAGGAAGTGTTTTCGAAGCGTTATTTAATTTAGCTTTGACTTTCATTAGAAACTTTTTCAGGGTATAACAAAGGTTCTCAACAACAGAATACATCTGTTCTTAAGATAAAATCGTCCCAGCAGGCTTAGTTGAAGAAAAAGCTCACAAAAGCCCTATAACCCTCGTCAGAGAGTAAAACAGTTAGGTTAAAAAGCGTTCTAAGAAACGAAATAAAGTTGTTACTAAGATAAGTATACTAAGTATGCTTAGTTAAAGAAAAAGCTTGCTTAACAAACCTTTAGTCATAGGTTGAGTCATTACAAGAACGAATCTGCATATTGTCTGAGTGTATTTTTGCTAGTTGCTGTTGTTGTTGTTGTTGTTGTTGTTGTAGGAGTGGAAATGCCTGTTCTTAAAGCCTGTTTGGTCTGGGCCAGAAAAATGTGTGCCGTCGTCGCTTTGCACAGGCAAATGCCAGTCAGACAGACAGAGGGGCTGGCAGACAGACCGACAGACAGACAGAAGAGTCGAACAGTTCCCACGAAGCGAAAATTGGCCAGCTTCAGATTCAGTATCAACAACTAAAACAACAACAACAACTACTACTACAACAACAACTCCAGCTTGAACGAAGAAGAATGCGGCTTAAAGTTCAATCGTGCACAGCAAGTGTTATTTTTTGGCTGTTTCTTGTCTATTCACCTCTCAGTGTATTTTTTTAAAAGCTTTTCAAACAAAAATCAAAGTCTAAAGAAAGAGAAATGTTTTAATGAATACATTTGTTTATAAATTTAAATTATGAATGGAAAATGAGAGAGTTAACAGTTTGACTGATTAGCGTTAACACAATTTCCGGTTCTGCCTGCCAATTAAATCATCAAACAGTTATTTTCTGAGTTCCATTTTCATACGTTGCAACATTTGCATTTGCATCTTTTTTCTATTTTTTACTTACCTTTTTGCTTAGTTTCTAGATTTATTCCGTTTTCTGGCTTTGCTTTCTATTTGCATTTATATTTGTTGTATTTGTATTTCTGTTGGAATTATGAACACATTGTTAATAAAATGGCTAAACAGAACTTGTGCCGTTTTATTATTAATTACCTTTTTTAAACACTTTTTTCGAGCACTTTTTTCGTTGAAATTTTCATTTAAATTTTTATTTTTTAGTAATTTATTTGAAAGGCTAAGCAAAAAACACACTTGGAAATTGAACGAAAGCTTAACCGATACGAAACTGAACGAAAAATGCGCTCAAAGCGCAGCAGTGCAAAGCGAACGCGACGTTAAAATTTGGAGCACACAAAAGCGAAAACTGAAAAACGACGACGACTAAAAGATCCCACAAAAAAAACAATTTAAAAGCCGAAAATGCAAATGGTAACAAAACACACGCACACAGATGCAAAGCACTTGCACACACACACATGCACACGCACACGGAACGAGAAGCGACGCTTTTAGTAGTAGTAGTAAAACGTTCGTTCTTCGGCGAAGAAGAAGACGCTACGAAATTTAAGTGTGTGTGTGTGTGTGTCGATATCGGGACGATGACGAAGACCGGGATCAAGCTAGCCACACGACGGTTCACTGACGAATGACCAAAAGTTTTCGGCTGCAGCTTCAGCTTGCTGTGCGACAGTCGAATTCGAAACGGGCTTGCGCTCTCTTTCGAACTTGGGAGAGAGCGCAAGCTCAAGCGAGCGAGCACGACAGAGAGAGCGAGAGTAGACGATCGCAAGTTTGCTGCTCAAGTCATTCGTTTAGAATTTGGTTGTTTTGTTTTGTTGGCCTATTGATTTATTATTGTTGTTGGAAATATAACTGTTTATTACATTGTGCGTTCAATTTGAGACCTCTTCTTCGTCGGCATTGAACCGTTGTTGTGCATACGAACAAAAAAATGAAAACCGGCCTGATTTGACACACATTTGAATAACTTTGTTTTGGGTTCCATCTGAGATTATACAATTATGCTTTAAATTGGTATGTGTATGTTTTTCAAATTTAATCATTCATATTTTATTATACCATTTATACAATTTATATTATGCCATTTTAATTTATATTTAAAATTAAATTTAATTAAATCTATTTTTCACTTTTTGTTTGTTTTTTTTTTCTCATATATATTTTTTGCTGATCACATTTAAATTTATGCGCATTGTTTTCATTTATTTAATGCAGCTTTCGCTGCGTGCGCTCTCTCTGTCTCTCTCTCTCTCTCTCTCTCTCTCTGACAAACTTTTACTCTCAGGCTTGCTGGAATTATGAGCACAGCTCTACTTCTTTTTCTGCCGCTGCTTACTCTCTTTGATAGTTTGCTCTGTTTACTTTACAAAATTGCCGCATTAAGTGAAGCCGACGCCGACGCCGACGTCGCTGTCGCTACATTTGCTGTTTCAGGTTTTTCGTCTACACAATGACTTCTTAACGGTTCGCCACTTAATGCTTTTCTGATTTTTCTCTGCGTGTGTGTGTGCGTGTCTATGTGAATGTGTGTGTGAACTTTTTGCAGTCGCTTTTGTCGCTTGCGCGTCGCTCACACGCTGTCTCCACTCCCCACGCCCCTCCCCTAGCCTACCTCTTTCAATTGCAGCTGTTATTGTCATTTTTGCTTTTCGCTTCAGTTTTATGCACTTTCTGCGGTTTTCATTCGCTGCTATATTTTTTTCTCTTATCAAAAAAAAAAACAAAGCATCGCATTGTCAACATTGTTTTTCTCATGTTGCGCTTTTAGGGCTGCTGCTGCCGCAAAACCAGCTGCTATCGATATGATCTGATTTATTGTTGTTGTTGGCTTGTTGTTGTCATTTTTGTTGCAAATATTCATTTACAATTTTCACAATTGGCATTCGAAACCGATTTACTTGTTATTGTCGTTGTCCCACTTTTACTTTAGCAGCGACTTGCGTTTCTGTACTCAGCCTAAAAGTAGACTCTACACTTGCACATAGATAGACAATACTGTTATTAATATAAGCTGCTGTGGTTCTTATTGTTGTTATTATTTGCTGCCAATATTCATTTGCAGCTAGCCCAATTGACATTCGTAATCGATTTGCTCCACTTTAACTTTAACAGCAAGCAACAAACCACGATATGTTTTTACGCTCGCGGCCTAAAAGTAGACTCTAAATTTGCACTCACCTTTTAGCCAATACAGCAACCATCGACACTAATTAATCGAGAATTTTGCCTGCTGTATGCGATATTTGTTTGACGCACGCGAAAAGTTGCAACTTTATTTTTGTTGCCTTTTTTGTTTGCGTGTCGAGTCGTGTTCTTAATTAGAGCACAATGAGTTGAAAATATTTGTGTATACAGCAAAAGTGCATGTCTAATTACACCCGCAACACTATTTTTCTTCTAATTGCAGCTCGAATCTGTGGCAAACAATTTGTTGCACTCATCTAATGATGACAACACACACATAATGAGCGTGCTGTATGCGGGTCTGTGTGTCTGTATTCGTTTGTTTGTTTGCATAGTCAGTTGAAACGCCACAGCTCCTCAATTATCGGAAATGTGAGCAAAATTAGAAACAATTGTTAATTGATCTGTTCGCGTTCGTTTTTAACTTTTAAATGTTAAATGTTAACTGCCACAATTCAAATCAGTGCGGCAACAACCCAAATAACAACCCCATGTAACAAGCTTTCAGATTGTGTGAGAAATATGGTCTTATCGATGTGTGGGCGTGGTCTGAAAATGAATATTCCGATCCTTGGAGGAGGTTACCAGGAAATTACCTTCCAATTTGGACACCCGTTCGTTGAAGTAAGTGGCAGTCAAGTGTCACACTTAAATTAATACATGTCTAAACTCGAAATTTGATATATTGATATATATTTATATATAAAACTCAGCAATTTGCTGAGCTGAATGCTATTTTGGTGAACATGGTGCAAGATGGGGAAAAGAAGAAGACGATGCCAAATTATATGAAATATGTGCTCGGTGGCACGGCCGGCATGTTGGCAACGATCGTAGTGCAACCGTTGGATTTGGTGAAGACACGCATGCAAATATCGGGTGCAAGTGGCACAAAGGAATACAGCAGCAGTTTCGATTGTATGGCAAAAATTTTAAGGTCCGAGGGATTGTTGGGCTTTTACAACGGAGTGAGTGCTGGGCTGTTGAGGCAGGCAACATATACAACAACCCGCATGGGAGTCTATCAAATGGCATTGGACGCGTATCGCAATCGTTTCGAGAAGCCGCCCAATGTGTTGGGCAGCTTGGCAATGGGCATTATTGCCGGTGCTTGTGGCGCAATGGTTGGCAATCCTGCAGAAGTCTCGCTCATTCGCATGATGGCAGACAATCGACTGCCAGCGGATCAGAGGCGTAACTATAGAAATGTGGGCAATGCTCTGACAAGGATCGTCAAGGAGGAGGGCATCTTGGCACTGTGGCGTGGCTGTTTGCCAACTGTGGGTCGTGCCATGGTCGTGAATATGGTTCAATTGGGCTCCTATTCGCAGTTCAAGTCGGCTTTTAAGCGCCACATCGACGAGGGTCTTGGGCTACAGATTGCGGCGAGCATGATGTCGGGTCTGTTGACCACAATTGCCTCGATGCCGCTGGACATGGCCAAGACGCGCATCCAACAGATGAAGTTCATCGACGGCCGGCCAGAGTACACCGGTGCCTTGGACGTCATTGGCAAGGTCATCCGGAATGAGGGCATCGTATCGCTGTGGAAGGGCTTCACGCCGTATCTGTGTCGGATTGGGCCGCATACGGTGCTCGCCTTCGTTTTTCTCGAGCAGCTCAACGGAGCCTATCGCAAATATGTCCTGGGCGACAAGCAGTCGGGTTCTGGTCTCTAAAAGCCCTCCTGGTAGTCCTGGTCGTTGTTATAACTCATTTTGTTTGTTTTCTGTATAAATTAAGGATAGACTTGGTATTAAAGTTGCTGAAGTAGTTATGGATAACACTCCATAAGTGCATTTTATACTGTATCTTGAAACGCAGAACACCAAAAGATCGCTTGACAGCAGAGGAAATACGCTTGTCAAACATTACCTGGGAATCTGGAAACAAGCACAAATCATCAACATATTAAATTATTTATTATAACAATTTAAGATCATCTTATATACAAAGTAAATAATGTAGCCAAAACTAAGAGCAGCAGTGTAAATATGCTTCCCAAGCTTTGGCATTAAGAAAATAATATTAACATTTCGAGATCATCTCATAAATCGCATGCGATATATTTTAAACAGCACTCTCTCACTCTCAGCTGTGTGTGTCTGCGTGTGTGTCTGCGTGTGTGTGTGTGTGTGCGAGTGAGTGTAGATCGCGAGTGAGATGTGTGTGTTATCAGCGTGTGGCTTGCAGTCAGTTGGGTTTCAGCAGCTCGATCGTGCGGTTCGGTTTCGGTTTCGGTTTCGGTTGTCGCATTGTTGCATTGTTGCATTGTGTTTGTGGCGCTGTTGCAGCGAGGCTGTTGTGTGGCGCTAAACCAAAAAGATTCCTGCTAAATTGAAGCCACTTAAATCTTCAAGTAGCCGTTGAACTGACTTTCGTCAGTATGTGAAGCTCAAGCTGAATCCAAATCCGAATCTGAATCTGATTCAGAGTCTAAAGCGTCGGCTCGCAGCGCGGAAGTGTTAATTAAATGCCTAAATACGGCTGAGATAAATCAGTGTTTGGCATTGTGAAGCTACAGCTACAAGCGCTATCCAAGAGAGAGGAGGAGAAGAGAGAGAGAGAGGGAGAGGGAGCAGAGGCAGAGGCCTATCTGTCGCTATCTGTTCTCATAAATTGTGTTTCAGCTGATAAATTAATTACCGCATGCGATTTATTTATTGTGCAAAGACAGGCATTGTAAATTGTAAATTCTTCGTCAATTTTTTTTGCGGCTTGTCTGTCTACAAACAGAAATATCTCCGATATCGCCAATACAGGTAAGTGATAAATTATGACTTCAACCACTAATCAATTTTGAATGAAGTCTTATTGACTGGCAATAAAGTTGAATGACTTTTGTGGAACTGCACGTCATTTATGAATAATACTACACTAATATGAATTATTACACAGTAAATTTAAAATTTAGTGTATAATGAAGCTCTTTTTAATTTATTGTTTGGTGTGCTGTTTTTGTTATTGGAATATGTTTTCTTGCTACGTCTTCGATTAAAAATATTGAAGTATTTTAAAAAATATATAAGAAATAAACACATGGTGAAGTTTTCTATATTATTTACCAAAGATTACAAGTGCTAAAGAATTTGGAGTATAAGTTCTCGTTTATATAATTGATAATTAATATAGTATATAATGAACCAACCACTATCAGCAAGCTTACTTGCTATTTAAGAGGTATCTCCTCGTCGAGCACTCTCGACTAGCGCACCGTTAAATAGTACACTTATATAAAAGCACTCGTTGTTTATCTATCTCTGTTCATGAGTAGAGACTGACAGATGTTTTTTCCCCATCCGCACAAACCCCTTTTGACACATTCGATTAACATGCAGCTTGCCCCATTCTTAATTGCTGGCTGACAAAAGCTGAGAAGAAGCGAAAAAATAAAACAAAAATACAAAGTCGGTTGCGGGGCAAAAAAACAATTAGATGTTTACTCATAGATTTTGAATGTGGCTGATAATGAGAAAAAATATTGTCAATGACGCCCAGAACACGGGCCAATATTTGCACATGGATAATGTGGCCGAGATTAGAAAAGCCGGCAATAAACCGACTTACTTTGTTCCAATTTGATTAAAAAAAAACACAGGCAAAAATGTGAATGCTCATTTCTGATCGGCTAGCTATACCCTATACTATGTGAATGCTAATTTCTGATCAACTAGCTATACCCTATATTGGTTTTTAATTATAAGTTCTACTTTAAGCGAGTGTATTTTAAAGTGATTGTTAATTTTGAGTAGAGTATCACAAAGTCAGCAGCTCGGGGCTTAAATTTGTCGCTGTTGTTTGTTATCACAATTAAGAAGGTTGTGTTTACATTTGGTTATAATGGATAAATAAAGACTGAAATTTTGGCCAAGATCTGTGGCTTTGTTATTGTTGTCTTAAGCAATCAGCTGACTTCATTAAAGTGCTGCAAGGCAAACCGGATAACATTCAAATATGTGCAAAGAAAACTATTGCAATGGATTTCCAATGAATAGAATTATGCATTCATTTAATATCACTTAGTTATTGTTTAATTTTGGTAATTGCATTATTTAATTAAAGCAATTTCATTAGTTGTGCGTTATTTGGAAATGAACAACTAATTTGACACACTTGCCAATTCTGGCATCAAATTGAATTTACATATTTTAAACAACTCTCTCGCTGACTGTGGTCTGGCTAATTTGATCCGCTGTTCATGCAGTCGTTTTGTCAACAAATATATCAATATATAAACAACAATTATAGACACACACACACATGTTCGACTATTATAGAATCGACAATGAACTGAACGCGTGCGATTTGTTGAATATTTAAATATAATTGCAAGTCGGGCGAGCAAAAAAATCCAATTAAATTACAATCGCACAATGAAATCGAGTTGAAATGAAACCCCCACATAATTGACTTAATAATTGGCTAAAGCATTTAATAAGCCGCCAATTGACAAGCCAAACACACACGCAACAACAACAACAACAACAGCAAAAAATCACAAACTGGCCCAAAATGTGTTTTCCGTTAAATAGAGCTGTTGTCACAGCTGATATTCATCCATTAGATATTGATAGATAGAAATCTGTCGCCGAGAACACAAAGTATATACATTCGTGACCAGCATCGCAAGTCGAACAAGTTATCAGAATTAAATTCACCAAATGTGCCTCAGATAGTCCTCCACACTTCTTGATTTGAATAATAATAATCGATTCTCTGCTAATTTAATAATTTTATAAATACTACTTTGAACCGGGTATTTCTTAGTCGAGCTCTATTAGTTATTTAAATAAAGATGCAAAGGCGGGTTTTCACCTTATAGATCGGTGGGAAAATCTGTTTAGATAAATATTTTCTTATTTGCGAGAGAGAATAAAGCAATAACAAACCAATAACTCAATTCACATACAAATTAGAATTATTTCCCAATAAATACATACATAGATTGGACCTGGCTTACCCCCTACTCAAGAAGCTGCTCTTGTGACAGGGTATTAACCCGTTCAGTCGACTAATATTTATACAAATGTTTACTGTTTTGCATTTGTGATTTGTTTTATATATTTTTGGAGACTGACAGCGAGACAAACAAACCGCACGTGATCTCAGCTCAGATGCCGTCTGTCTGTCTCCAATATTGTTGTTGTTGTCTATTGTTGTTGTTGCCTGTTATTGTTATTAACTGGATGTTGACTTTGTAGCCGAGTTGCCAGCTGCTGTTTCAGTCGGCGATCTGCGGTTTTGTCACATGACGAATTTCAAGCAAGCCTCACCAAATTTATAAGTCATCAAATGCAATTAACTTATAAGAATAAAGCATAACAATAATAATAATAAGAAGAATATTAAACCTGAAAGCTTAAAGCCAATTAAGTCAAAGAAGAAATGTGCGCTGAGTTTTAATATCGCATTTCTGCGCAGCGTTGATGAATTATGCGGCTCAGTTGGCGAATATTGAACCAAAGCACGCAAAGGCAGCCAGTTCAGGGTCAAAGGTTAAACATGTCAGTTTGTCACTGGCGATGGCCAGAGCAGATAAGCAAAACGTCAACGTCAACGTCAACGCCAGCGTCAACGTCGACATCAACGTCAACGTAAGCGTCAACTGTCGACTGTCGCATCTTTCAGATACAAGATACACGATTATCATTGCCAGATGCGTGCATCCGACTATATATATACATATGTACATATATATGTATAGATATATGCATGTATATGGCTACAATTTGTCTAGCAGCTGCGAGAAGCTGCAATTTTCGAATTAAGACAATTGCGCCATGAATTATATAAGCTCGTGTGTAACTAAATCAGTCACGTCTTCTTGTGGCCAGCAGCAACTCATCTCGTTTGCGCAAATCAATGCCAAAAACAAAAAAATATAAAAAAAAAACCTATGCAAATTCGTATCTTTTGCTGTGGCTTGAAAGTAAATTGAATATTCAATGAGCAGCAGCAGCACAGCGGCAAGAAAACAAATCAAAAGGGCTACCAAATACTAGATGCAAGCCTTAACAAATGCCATCAATTATTTAACACAGTGTCAAATTGTGGAAATTGTGGAAAACAGTTGGAGTGAAGAGCGACTGGCACTTTCCCTCCATAGAAAGGAAAAGCAAATAGGAATACCCGACTGGGATATATCCTAAACAGATAGATATACGCCTACACAGATAGATATACGAACATGGCTAAATCAACTTTGCTGGTAATACTGACCAAGAATATAGACACCTTGTATGGTCTTCTGTCTGCTAAATACCTTTGCACAACTTCAATGTATTTTTCCTTAATTATATTAACAATAAATAAACTTATGTTCTCCCTTAGAGAAAACAAAGGTGATAATAATTTATAGAAGAGACAGAAAGATGCATTAAATTTTAAAAAATATTTATCTAGCAACTTGTAAATGTCGACAATAGATACAGCTGCTAGAGCTTAATCGTAATCTTAGAGTACATCAAATAAATAATTGATTAAAGAATCAAATAAATAAGAGAAATTCCTAAATATCCACAACGTCGTCTCCAACTTAATACTTGATACAAACACAGCTGCTAAACATTTAAACTCAATCTAAAATCACATCTAATAAGTAATTATAAATAAATATTGTATTATAAAATCCAGCAACTTTTTACAGAGTATACTTTTCACTAGCAACTCCTAAATATCCACAACTTACTCTGCTGTATTTTATTGTATATGTCGAGTTTAGCCTTGCACCAGCTCAGGGTCCCCATTGGAGTACTCTTTGCATAGATGAGTATATGAAAAAAACACTTATGTTTGGCTCTGTCTGAGACTTCTGGCTGAGTTGGGTGTGCGGCATGTATCAGTGGCAATTTTCCAATTGACGCCTATTACGGTTAATCGTAGCAGTGACCCAAGTCCAGACGAACCTAAACTAATAATGTGCACAGTTTAATGGCTAAGCCGCAGCAAATCGCCGGGCCAATCCCAGATACACCCAAACTACATTCAACCTCAACTCACCCACAATGTCACTGTGTGTGTGTGTGTGTGTGTGACTGAGTACGTGTATTTGTGTGTTTGTGGACACCACTACAAAACCACTACAGAAGACCGCACGACAAACGTTGTCTCGCATCTGAAGTAGTTGTTGCTGTATTTGTGGGCATATGCGTGCCACGCTGTTGTTGTTTATATACCCTGTAATCACTACGAATCGTTGAAAAGTTGTTTGCACTTGTGCAAAGGCATTTATTAGTGTGGAACAGATTAGTAAGTTTATAGATGCCAGTTAAGCGTTAAGCAAACAACCCCAACTTTATGTGTACACTCTGCAAAAAAGATAGCACTAAAGGAAAATGAACCAAAGCTGAAAATGGGCACAAAAATTATAAAGTTTTCTGCTCTTAAAAATTTTAAGAACTAGAAAGGCAGATTTGAGGAAGCTTGAATTTTATAAATATACTTTCTGCATAATAAGCAGGGTTGCCCTGGTCGCGAAGAGTATGACAATTTTCTACTTTTCAATGACATTTTTTTCTGAGTGTATTAATTACTGCAATTTAATAATTTTATGACTGACTACAGGTTATCTCCGAGTCGAGCACACGCCTAGCTACGTAGCTGACTGCTACTTGTTGTTATTGCTACTTGCTATTGTTGCCGCTGCTGCTTAGCGTGCTAACTAGTCTACGTCGCTGCTTCAGCTGGCGTCGCTGCCGCAGCTGACGTCGTCGTAGTCGCACGCAGTCGCTTTAAGTTAAACATTTGCGCTGGCTTTAGTCGC